AACCCTAAACCAGGGGTAGGCACCCTGGGCTCTTTTATGACTCGTGGACTTTGACTCCCAGAATTCCTGAACCAGCCATGCTGAGGGGAAATATGGCTCCTTCATGACACGTGGACTTCGACTCTCAGAATTCCTGAACCAGCCATGCTGAGGGGAAATATGGCTCCTTCATGACTCGTGGACTTCAACTCCCAGAATTCCTGAACCAGCCATGCTGAGGGGAAATATGGCTCCTTCATGACTCGTGGACTTCAACTCCCAGAATTCCTGAACCAGCCATGCTGAGGGAAAAGGGACCACAGGAAGGTGCTGCAATGGTCGCAAGTGTGAAAACAACGGTCAACGCTATTTTCAGGGCCGTTGTAACTTCAAACGGTCCCTAAATGGATGGTTGTCAAGTCAAGGATTACCTGTAAAAGGAAAAGGGTTTTTTTTTTCTCACCAAGGGAAGTGGTGCATGGTTGGAAGAAATGAAAGATATGTACAGATAGTCCTGGACTTAACAACCATTCATTTAGTGACTGAAGTTAAAACAGCACTGAAAACACGATAGCAGCCTTCCAATCTCTCAGGGGCTGCCCCAAAAAAGAGGGAGTCAAGCTATTCTCCAAAGAACCCTGAAGGCAAGACAAGAAGCAGCGGATGGAAACTAACCAAAGAGAGAAGCAACCTGGAATTAAGGAGAAACTTCCGGACAGTGGGAGCAATTAACCAGTGGAACAACCTGCCTCCAGAAGCGATGAATGCTCCAACACTGGAGGCTTTTAAGAAGAGACTGGAAAGCCATTTGTCTGAAAGGTAGAGGGTTTCCTACCTGAGCAGGGGGTTGGGCTAGATGACCTCCAAGGTCCCTTCCAACTTTATTATTATTATTATCATTATTTATTATTAGGCATTTGATAAAATAGACCACAACCTACTTCTTGGTAAGATGCACAATGGGGACTCTCCCCCCTGAAGATGCTAAGAAAATGGAGCAGCTTAAGTTTACAGGTAGTCCTCGACTTACAACAGGTGTTTCAGTTAACCGTTCCAAGTGAGCAACGGCATTGAAGAAAGTGACTTAAGACCATTTTTCTCACTTACGACCTTGGCGGCTTCAGCACAGTAACGTGGTTTACATTTGGATGCCTGGGGACACCGCAAACCCGTCCTAAATACGAGCCAGTTGCCAAGCATCTGAATTTTGATCACATGGCCACGGAGCTGCTGTGCCGGTGCTAAGTGTGAAACACGGCACTTTTTTCAGTCACCAAACGAACCGTTGTAAGTCGAGGACCACCTGTACGTGCGAGAACCTTGATGCAAAGTCGGCCTCGCCTCCTGAATCCCAGCTGCGCGTCACGGCTTAACACTGATCGATTATACACTTAAGCGCCGTTTGTGCTTCTGACACGTCTCTTCTCCCCCTCCTGGTTGGCGAGGGGGGGGTCTACAAAGCCAAGATGCCCTCCTTCCCCCTCCCGCTCGGTGCCCTCCACTCGGAGACGCTGGCGAAGGGAGGGCCAGCGAGCCTGGAAGACCCCGGCTCCTTTTTTAAATCTTCCTTCGCAATTTGAGATAAGACAGCGGGCTAGATGAGAACAATTTAATTAAGTTGCCGAAAGGGCCCTGCCTGACCATAAGCTGCCCCCTCGGTACAGGATTGATGGCCGTTTTCCGCTCGTTGCCCCCCCCCTCGTCCTCCCCTGCAACTGGAAATTAAAAACCAGAATTGGAATTAAAAACAAGCAAATTATTTCTGCGCCGTCTCTGGTCAACGCTGGCGATGCCAACCCTTCTTCCCAGATCACCCAGCTCCGTTTATTACAGAAGGATAATTGAGGCTTGTGTTCCAGTTGTTAGACAGATAAGCAACGTTGGGGGGTGGGGGGGAGGAAACAGGGTTGGGATGAAAGAAAGAAGACATTAAAATATATCTGGGAGCTGATATTTCCCACTCGATCCGGCGTTCGCCTGTAGGTTTTCTCATTTTGTTGCTCCATCGGTTTAAGAGAGGTATATTAGACTACAGTTGAGGGCAAAATTTCCACCGCTACGCGAGGCGGTTCTTAAGTGAGTTGTGCCCCATTTTGCGACCTTAACTGGCCACCGTTGTTAAGTGAATCACGGCGGTTGTTCAGTTGGGAACACAGTTTGTTAAATCAACCCGGCTTCCCCCGTTGACTTTGCTTGTGGGACGGTCGCAAAAAATCTGACCCCGGGACGCTGCAACCGTCGTAAGTATGAGTCGGTCGCCGAGCGTCTGAATTCTGGTCACGTGACCGCGGGGATGCTGCGACGGGCGTTAAGGGTTAAAAGCGGTCATGGGTCACTTGTCTCACTCCCGTTGTAGCCTGGGTCACTAAATGAACCGTTCTAAGTATCCTTCCTCTGTTCAGCGTTCTTCCCTATTTGTGGTTCGCTGTTCTGAACACAATATTTCTACGGGCGTGCGAATGCATTTCGTGCCCTTGTACAAATGATGCGTACTCTGGCTTTGCAATCTGAGGGGGGGTTTGTGTCAGAGGAGTTGTGGTATTAAAAAGTGCCTTTCGGCGGTAGGGTTCTTTTTCCTATCACTTTCTGTTGTAAGGTATGGCTCCTGGGCATTTTGGCTTCACAATATGTTCATTTGAAATAAAAGAGGCCTGCTATTTGTCAGGAGGGTGTGTGTGTCTGTGTGTCTCTGTGTCTCTGTGTATCTTTACTGGCGATATTTACTGATTTGTTTGCATTCTGCCTTGATTGTTTTTCCAAATAATTCAAGGCAGTGAAAATATGCAATACACTTTCCTCCTCCTATTTTCCCCACAAAAAAACAACCCTGTGAGGTGGGTTAGGCTCTGAGAGAAGGACTGGCCTACAGTCACCCAACTGGCTATCATGTCTTAAAGTGGGACTTGAAACTCCCCATCTCCTGGTGATTGGCCCATGCCACCCAGGAGGTTTCATGCCTAAGGCGGGACTAGAACTCCCCATCTCCTGGTGATTGGCCCAAAGTCACCCAGTTGGCTTTCATGCCTAAAGCGGGACTAGAACTCACCATCTCCTGGTGATTGGCCCAAAGTCACCCAACTGGCTTTCATGCCTAAAGCGGGACTAGAACTTACTGTCCCCTGGTGATTGGCCCATGCCATCCAGGAGGTTTCATGCCTAAGGCGGGATTAGCACTCCCCGTCTCCTGGTGATTGGCCCAGAATCATCCAGTTTGCTTTCATGCCCAAGTGGGGACTGGAACTCACAGCCTCTTGCTTTTTAACCTGGTGCCTTCACCAAGGAAACCAAGATGAGATCTCTCCCTTTCCCATCCCCGTATCCTCAACCCGAGTCGAGCAGCGGCTGATGAATTTTTGACAACATTCTCAAGTGCAAAATTCCAGCCGCTCTACAGCGTCAGGGGTTTGGCAGGGAAAGGGAAGACATCCGTGATAAAAATGTATATATGCAAAAGATTTATTTATTTTTTCTCTCTCCTGCGGCCGTTCATTCATTTTGGATGCGTAGGGTAGCCTGGGGAACGCGGTCCTGAATCCCTTTTCAACACAAGTACTTTGTGGTTAGAGATGAGTGTGCTGCACGCCCTTAATCGTTCCACTGGGGGAAAGTTATGTATTTGTTATTTGTTGTCTTGAAAGATGATTAACCAACTTCAGGTCTTCTGGGATGCTGCCGGTTGAAGCCTAAATAAAGACTATTATTTCCTGTAACCAGGCTTGGAATTCCACCCCAGACAGATTTTAATAATAATAATAAGAAGAAGAAGAAGAAGAGGAAGAGGAAGAAGGAGAAGGAGAAGGAGAAGGAGAAGGAGAAGGAGAAGGAGAAGGAGAAGAAGAAGAAGAAGAAGAATATACAAAGACCTACAAATAGAAATGGAAAGACTGTGGTAAAAGCAAGCAAGGGTAGTACCAATAGCAATAGGCGCCTTGGGCGCAATCCCAAAACAACTGGAGCACCCCTTGGACACCATCATCGGCATTGACAAATTCGCCATTAGTCAATTGCAAAAGGCGGCCTTATTAGGAACTGCTTCCATCCTGCGAAGATACCTGTAATACCATCAAACATCCACATCTGCCTATCCCAGGTCCTTGGGAAGGACTCGATAGGTAGACAAAATGCCAAATCCAGTCTGAACATCTGGCTGACTGTGCGATGAATAGGTCTGGGGTGGGAGGGACGTAGAGAGTCCCGTCATAAAATTGCAAAGTTTTAAGCCTGTGCTATCTTACTGGTAGTCCTCAACTTACAACCACTCGGGGTGGCAGGAATGGTCATAAAGTGGGGCAAAATTCACTTAACAACTATCTTGCTTAGCAGTGAAAATTGTGGGCTTTATTGTGGTCGTAAGTTGAGGACTGCCTGTAGCAGTCTTCCACTGCTTCAGGGGGTGCCCCAGGGAACGGGGTTGACCTATCACTTGAAGGCAGGACAAGAAGCAACCGATGGAAACTAATCAAGGAGAGAACCAGCCTAGAACTGAGGAGGAATTTCCTGGCAGTGAGAACAATTAACCAGTGGAATGACTTGCCACCAGAAGTTGTGGGTGCTTCATCACTAGAAGTTTTTAAGAATAGACTGGACAGTCATGTGTCTGAAATGGTACAGAGTCTCCTGCTTGTGCAGGGGGCTGGACTAGAAGACCTCCAAGATCCCTTCTCCTTATTAGCCTATGTTCTAAAGCGGGAGTCTTCAAACATGGCCCTTTTATGACTTGTGGACTTCAACTCCCAGTATTCCTCAGCCAGCATTGCTGGCTGAGGAATTCTGGGAGTTGAAGTCCACAAGTCATAAAAGGGCCATGTTTGAAGACCCCTATTCTAAGGGATGAATTCAGCAGACGGATGAAGCCGGTTGTGTGAATGCAGCTTTTGTGTGGAACTGCAACTCCCATCTGCTCCTCCTCCTGGGGTCTTGGGAGCTGTAGTTCAGGACCTTGGCATTGCCCCCCAAAGCAGAGCATCTCTCTCCAAAGAGATTCCAGGTGTCCTAACCTGTTACCTGCTCTCCTTCCCCAGGCCCACCTTCAAGTATTTCACGTGGCACACCTGTGTGCTGGGCATTGCCGGCTGTGTCGTGATGGTGTTCCTCATCAGCCCCATCTACGCTTCGGCCAGTGTGGCCTTCATGGTCATCCTGCTGGTGGCCCTCCATTACCTGTCTCCCAGCAGCAGCTGGGGTTACATCAGCCAAGCTCTGATCTTCCACCAGGTAAGGACCATTCCATTGGGGAATGTCTATTCTCAGTCATCCAGTTGTTCCAAAGATGCTTTTTCAGGAGGCAACTGGACTTTCTTGTTTTTCTTGGAAGACATTTCACTTCTCATTCAAGAAGCTTCTTCAGCTCTGACTGGATGGTGGGGAAGGGAAGGATTTATACTCCTTGCAGACAGCTGGTCATTTGCCTTTTTTTAAAAAAAGAGTCGTTGTAGCCACTTGGAGGCTTATCTGTGTCCTTGGGGTCACCTGAGTGGTGCAAATGGGTAGCTGCTTTCTTTGTATCTTTTTTCTTTCTTTTCTACTTTTTTCCCTTTTCTTGCACGTTTAGCTTTTTCTCTGATTTCTTCCTTTTTTCTTTCTTTCTTAGTTTATAGTAGTTTGTGTTAGCTTTTCTGTTTCTTTTTTAAAAGTTTTAAGGGATAGAGTAGGATAGGATAGGATAGGATAGGATGGGTGAATAGATAGAAGTATACAAGGATGGAGAGAGAGAGAGAAAAAGGAAGAAAGAAAGAAAGAAAGAAAGAAAGAAAGAAAGAAAGAAAGAAAGAAAGAAAGAGCTAAAGGAATAGGTAGAGACATGTATGTATGGCGAGAGAGAAAGAGAGATGATAGAGAGAAAGGAATGGATGGCTGGATGAATGAATAAATAGAGGGATACATGGATGGAGAGAGAAAGAGAGGAATAAATAAAGGAATAAGAAGGATATATGGATGGATAGAGAGGGAGAGATGGTAGATTAGGTAGATAGATAGATAGATAGATAGATAGATAGATAGATAGATAGATAGATAGATAGATAGATAGATTTTTTTTAGAAAAAATTCTCTTCTGTCGAGACATCTGACTCCTTCCGTTTCTTTTCGCCATCTCCTAATTAAGATGCCTCTCTTTGACGTCGGCTTTTCTCCAGCCTATGGAGGTTGTTCCTCTTGATTAAATTTTAAATGATCCGTCAAGCAGTTTCTTGCGTATCTCACTGCCCATCCATCCACCCGCCACTTTAGCCCTGCCTTTTGGGTGTTTTTTAATTTGCTTCCCGGGACTGGGCAGCCATTTGGAGCCCGAAGCATTTTCTCCCCGAAGCTAGAGATCAGCTAACTCAAGGATAGCACACCGTATCTTCCTGTACTTCAAATTTCATATCCGGATAGGAATTCTTCAGATATTTCTAAATATGCTTTTTTTTCCAGCTGCCCTCCATGGTCTGTAATATTCTTGCCCCCCGCCCCCCTTTAAATCAGATTCAAGCAGCCGATGAAGCGATGAAGGTCTCCCCTTGGCAATGCGGTTTCTGCTAAGCCAGTGCTTCTCAACCTTCACAGCTTGAAGACAGGTGGACTTCAACTCCCAGAATTCCCCAGCCAGCCATGGCTGGCTGGGGAATTCTGGGAGTTGAAGTCCACCTGTCTTCAAGCTGTCAAGGTTGAGAAGCACTGTTCTAGACAGATGAGCTGGTCAAAATGATGGTGCCGCCATCTTGACGTTTTTGTCCACCTTGCAGTAAAACAAACATCTGAGTTAGGATTTCCATCCCTTCCAGGAGCTGGAGGAGGAATAGCAGAAAAGCAGAGTTGAAAGGGACCTCGGAGGTCATCTAGTCCAACCCCCTGCTCAGGGAGGAAACCCTATACCATTTCAGACAAATGACTGTCCAGTCTCTTCTTAAAAACAGTGTTGGAGTAACTGCAACTTCTGGAGGCAAGTTGTTCCACTGGTTAATTGTCCTCACTGTTAGGAAATTCCTCTTTATTTCTAGGTTGCTTCTCTCCTTCATTACTTCACATCTGTTGCTTCTTGGTCCTGCCTTCAGGTGCTTTGGAGAATAGCTTGACTCCCTCTTCTTTGGGGCAGCCCCTCAAATATTGGAACATGGCTATCATGTCACCCCTGGTCCTTCTCTTCATTAAACTAGACATACCCAGTTCTTGCAACTGTTCATGTTTTAGCCTCCAGCCCCCTAATCATCTTTGTTGCTCTTCTCTACACTCTTTCTAGAGCAGACATGTCAAACACAAGGCCCGGGGGCCGGATGTGGCCCGCGAAGTGGTTTCATGTGGCCCACGAAGCCATCCTGGAAACAGTGAGGGAACGGCCCCCGCTGCCTTGGCCCTGGCCCAGGCCAGCTGGGAGCCAATGCACAATTTTGTGGTGGCCATCTATGCTGAAACGCATTCAGTCTTAGCTCCACAAGGCCGCCTGGAAACAGCAAGGGACCGGCCCCTGCCGTGTCGGCCCTGCCCTCTGGGTGATATGCTGGGGAGGTGTCCCCCTTTGTGAGGAATGAAGAAATGGACCATGCCTTGGTGCTTGCCCCAGTCCCACCTTCTTCTGCCAGAGACCCTCAGATCTGTCCCACTCCTGCCCAGGCCCCCACAGGCACCCTGGACGCGAACGATGTAGAGATGGCCATGCCCACCCAGTAGGCCACACCCACTCTGTCCACACCCATCCAGTAGGCCGCACCCACCCGGAACCCCAAGGGCAACCGCAATGCTGATGCGGCCCTCAATGAAATTGAGTTTGACACCTCTGTTCTAGAGTCACTATATCTTTTTATATATATATATATAATATGGTGACCAAAACTGGATGCAGCATTCCAGGTGTGGCCTTACCATGGCATTGTAAAGTGGTATTAACACCTCACATGATCTTGATTCTATCCCTCTGTTAGTGCAGCCCAGCACGGTGTTGGCTTTTTTGGCAGCTGCAGCACACGGCTGGCTCCTATTTAAGTGACTGTCCACTAGGATTCCTAGATCCGTCTCGTAGTTACTACTACTGAGTCTCAGGTACCACCTATTCTGTACCTGTGCGTTTGGTTTTTCTTGCCTAAGTGTAAAATCTTATTTCTCTCACCATTGGATTTCATTTTGTTAGGAGGAGGAGGTTTTCCCATCTCCATCCACTTGGCCCTTCGCCCTTCCAGTTGCTCAATTGCCAATGCCGGAGCAGGTGGTCATCCTTATTGGAGATTAATTTTTCCGATATAATAACAACATTCCGAATTTGGATCTGCTTCCTACGCTGGGGTCTCTTCTGTTTCTGCATCACTCTTTGAGCAACCGGCTCGCCCTTCCAGCTGGTGTGATCCCCGCCTTCCGCCTTTCCCCGGGAACCGTGCCCGGCTCCTGCAAACTGGGCCCGTTGCCCAGGGCCAGCCTTTTAATTTGGGTGTCATAAAACCGACATTTAAAAGCTCTAGTTAGGGGTTTAATGGAGGAGTCTTATTAGCCAGCTGCTGTTTCCCTGCACCGCCTGGCAAAGCCAGAGCTCTCCTGGGGGCCAGATCAGATTGTTTGATCAGACATTTTGCCTGGCATTTGGCTAGCGATGCCAGGCTGTCCATTCTGGGCATCTTGTGAGGGGCCTTGTTATTAGAGGCCTTGTGGGTTGAGCTCTCTTGCCCTTAACACAGGGCAAAGCCACCATGGAGACTAGATAGATAGATAGATAGATAGATAGATAGATAGATAGATAGATAGATAGATAGATAGATAGATAGATAGATAGATAGATAGATAGATAGATAGATAGATATGGATGTATGGATGTACAGATAGATGGATGGATAGATATGATAGATGATGAGATATAGATAGATAATAGATACAGAAATGATAGCTAGAGCTAGATCGATATAAAGAGAGAGAGAGAGAGAGAAACAGACAGACAGACATGGATGGACGGATAGATGGACAGATGGATGGATAGATAGATGATAGATGATGAGATAGAGGTAGATAATAGATACAGATAGAAATGATAGCTAGATAGATAGATCAATATAGAAAGATAAATATAAAGATAGATAGATAGACAGATAGAGATAGATAGATAGATAGATAGATAGATAGATAGATAGATAGATAGATAGATAGATAGATAGATATGGATGTATGGATAGATGGGTGGATGGATAGATATGATAGATGATGAGATATAGATAGATAATAGATACAGAAATGATAGCTAGAGCTAGATCGATATAAATAGATAAATACAGAGATAAGTAGATAGATAGATAGATAGATAGATAGATAGATAGATAGATAGATAGATAGATAGATAGATATGGATGTATGGATGTACAGATAGATGGATGGATAGATATGATAGATGATGAGATATAGATAGATAATAGATACAGAAATGATAGCTAGAGCTAGATCGATATAAAGAGAGAGAGAGAGAGAAAAAAACAGACAGACAGACATGGATGGACGGATAGATGGACAGATAAATGGATGGATAGATAGATATGATAGATGATGAGATAGAGGTAGATAATAGATACAGATAGAAATGATAGCTAGATAGATAGATCAATATAGATAGATAAATATAAAGATAGATAGATAGATAGATAGATAGATAGATAGATAGATAGATAGATAGATAGATAGATAGATAGATAGATAGCCTTTTTTCTGTGGGCATAATGGCACACAATAAAAATGAAATTTAGTTGCTTGCTCTCAGAGTGTATACCTACATAACACACATTTAAACATACTATATACAACATATGTATAGACCCACATCTTTTACATATAAGTGACATATAAATATTAATCACTGTCCATCTTGAATACGTAACGGGAGGAGGAAGCTTTAGAGTTCACAAGGTTGACACTATGAAGCAATATATAGGTGGTCCTCGACTTACGGCCACAACCGAGCCCCAAATTTCTCTTGCTAAGTGAGAAAATTGTTAAGTGAGTTTACCCCCATTTTACGACCTGTCTTGCCACGATGCGTAAGTGAATCCTTGCAGTTGTTAAGTTAGCAACACGGTTGTTAAGTGAATCTGGCTCCCCCGTTGGCTTTGCTTGTCAGAAGGTGGCAAAGGGGGAATCACAAGAGTTTAGGGCAGGGGTAGGCAACCTTGGCTCTTTTATGACTGGTGGACTTCAACTCCCAGAATTCCTGAGCCAGCCATGCTGAGGGGAAAGGGAGAGGTTTCCAAGCTGAGCCCTGCTGGCTCAGG